ACCTCTTGCACCAGCTGGACCAATTGGGCCAACTCTACCATCTGCACCAGGGAAACCCTAAAGAAATAAAGCAAACTTTTGAATGACCATTTTCAGTGTTTGTTGTTTGATCTTAAGAACAACCTATATCAATTCATTAAAATTTGAAGATCATATAAAAATGTGTGCATGTACATATACACACATTTCTCCACTTTTTTTTCCTATAAAACTAACTTGATCTTCAGGACTTTAGCTATTATACAAAGCCCATGGACGTGAATGGAAAGATTCCCACTGACCTCCATAGCCTTTGGTTCAGGCCTTTGGCAAAATAAAATGTACAGTTTTAGTGACTTTAAGCACAGCTGTGTTAAAGCTGAGCAGCAGGATTACAGCTTCTTAAAAAGCAACTCAAACCTATGTTTTATAAATATTAAAAAAACTAATGAAAGAACAGAATACTTACAACGGGACCTTCCTTGCCAGCAGGGCCTGAGCTTCCAGGTTGACCGGGGAGACCCTAAAAACACGATGTTTTTATCTTAATATTTTTTTTCAGTTCACCAAAATTAAAAATGACAGTATATGACTGTGTATGTGTACATGCCCCCCCCACTCTCTAATGTGGAGTAAATAAGCTTTACTTCCTGCTAAGTTTAAACCAAAAATACATAAGAGCATAATTCAGCAATACACTCAAGGAATAATTCAACCACGAAGTGAAAACATGCTGACTTCTATACCATACAGTTTATACATGTTTCACTTGACTACATTCATTTATGCCCAGTCCTGCAAACACACAAGTTTAGTGTAAGGTATCTATATAAAAAATGTGCAGGCTTCATGCTTAATGGTCCATACTTTAATTAGGAAACTGATTAATACCCATTCTATAAGTGGATTAGGAATGATAAACTTAAGGCCAAGAGGCCAGGTACAGACTGTTTTGCCACTGACAAATGTAAGCAAGACTACTCTAGCTGAGCAGACAATTCACATGAGCCTGATGATAGAATTTGTTTTTGTTTTTTTTTTCAAATTAGCTTGAACAACAATGTGGACCGAGGTTGTTTATGGAGTGCTGCGGCAGACTCAAATTTCAGCTATGAACTTAGCTACCTCATTCTGTACATAAGAATCAGTGGAACCATCTCATTAATTTGTACCCTGGATGAAACAATGGGGCTCTGACCTACAATCAAAGCCTGTAGGTAATGCCACAATGCAAACAGTGTAATTCTGTTAAAGTGTTCTGATGTGGTTTAATTGTTTAGTTGAGGAAATGAATCAGAATATGAAGAGTTCTGTCTAATGACAGTTGGATGGAAAGGCCTCTGCTAATAGATTAAAAACCCTTCTAATTCCCAAATTATTTTATCCTCCAAAAGTTAAGTGATTTCCATTGCAAACCAGGAAAGCTACAGAGCTTAAAACTTACTCTTGGACCCATGAGGCCAGGCTCACCAGGGCGACCATTATCACCAGTAGGACCTTTAACACCAGCAGGACCAGTAGCACCACGGCTGCCAGCAGGTCCCTACCAACATGCAAAAAAAAGTAGAAGTTGAGAAACAATAGCCAGAACTATCATACATAGTTAGAAAGACTGAATAACACTTCTTAAATAGAACAAAAAAGAAAAAGCCCCCCCAGAAAACAAACAAACCCAAGCCCCAATCCATGACTCACCATAACACCAGCTCTGCCATCAGCTCCAGGGAGACCACGAGATCCAGGAACGCCCTACAAGACAAAAAACAGTCCAGGAATGGAAAAGATTAAGCCAACTGCTAAGGCAGGGTTTGCTGAAGCTCAGAATTCAAAGCAGAACTGTTGGTAGTTGAGATGAAGCTAAGTCTGAGCACCTGCAGTTCTGGTTAAACCTGGATCCAGCAGATATCCAAACCTTTTTTTTTTTTTCTCCCCTTCCCTTAGGCTCTGTATCAGGTTGAACCAGTGCCAGAGATCTGAGCGTACTCTGGATCCAGACTCTGACCCAGAGTCATACAGACACAGCTTTGGCACTTATATAAAGCCCTAAAGACTTTTAAGAGAGTTGGTACACATGCAAGAAATTGGATCTCACAGACCAGATCACAGCCACTGTGTGTAGATCTGATCCCTAATCTTTACTTGAAACACGAGTGGAAGTTTGGTTACATTTTTCATCCTTTGGAGTTAAGTTAACCAACTCATCCAGTGCTGAGCTCATTCACTCCCAAGGGAAGGTCTAGCAGTATCTTGTAAGAGGTCCTCATTACCAGGATAGGACCAAGACCTTTACATTTCTAAATTTAATAGAAAGTAAGACTGGAAGAGGCCTCTTTGGGCATCAAGCCCAATCCCTTGCTTTTATGGAAAGTCATTAACCAAACGAGTTGGTTAACACAATTTATCTATATCAATATCTTTATAAGGGATAAAAATGACCATGGTGTTTTCAAAAAAACCCCAAACAAAAAAACCAAATCCCAAAAACCCAATAAATAAGTATTTAACAAACACTACTATAAAGTAGCCCACATAAATGTTTTAGGAACGATATGAAGCATTAGTAAACATTAATGTATGTATATATACACACTTCACTAGATATCAAACCATCAAGCCCTCAGGACAGCTACTGTGAGTTATAGTCTGTTTTGTTATTCTCCTTGTGTACCTGAATTAGTTAAACACTTAATTCCCTTTGCCCTGAACTTCTGATAGAATCATAATGGATTTTACAATTGCTAGGTTGTATATGAAGTGTTAACACAAATACGTTCAAGTTACTCAGGTAAAAACTTAAGGGCATTCCTAATTCCAAATCCTGATTGTTTTTTCCCCCCATTATATAAATAAAATAAAAGTGGCAGACAACTGGACACTGTAGTTATTTACCAGGTTTAGTACATTACCTGGGCTCTGGTTAGCTGAAACAGTACAGCTAGGACCCTTTATTATCTATGTTTGTTTGCATCTGTGTAACTAGATTTTATTCCCCTTTTTTGCATGTGTTTCTGGAATGTGCAAAGACAACTTACTCTTAGACCAGCTGGACCAGGGGGGCCAGAAGAGCCAGGTTCACCAGTAGTACCTTTCTTGCCTTCTTCACCACTTGGACCAGCAGGACCTGGTGGACCAGCAGCACCCTGTTTAATGTGATCAAAAAAACAGGTCAGTAACTTAAGCAAAAGTCCACCTCAAACTTGATTCACTGAAATTGTTTAATGTACTGCAGTACTTACGGGTTCACCCTTGTTACCACTTTCTCCCTTGGCACCAGCAGGGCCTGGTTCACCCTACAGTCAAATATAACAAAAATCACAGGAATAAGCATTGCCTAAAAACTTTTACTTGTTCATCTTTTCTTGAAAACAAAAGATATGCAACTATCAAGGGAATAACATTTAAAAGGGAATATATCAAACATGGAATATTACACTAAAGATCATTAAGAACGATAATTGATCTAAACAGTCTAAGGGCCTGCTCTACTGGCCTTATACCAAACTGTTGCTGCATCTGGCTAGCTAATACATGTTTGAACAGAGCTAGTGTGCAAGGACTGCTAAGCTTTACATGCCTCCCATTTAGAGAATGCATAAAGTGAAGATTCTTCAGTTGCGATAGGCCACGAGTTAGTAATATGTAGGAGTGCTCTGTTGTGTTTGTGCAGCAAGAAATGGTGATTAAAAAAACCAAACAAAAACAAACTTAATGTTTGTTATTCAAACCAGAAATCTATCCAGCAGGTTTGACAAGTATGGGCAGTTGGGCCATTATCAAAATGAGATACTACTTACAACAAGACCTCTGGTGCCAGCAGCTCCGGCAGGGCCAGGAGGTCCAGGAATACCACGTGGACCAGGCAAGCCAGGAGCACCAGCAACACCAGGAAGACCCTATTTAGTGAAAAAGAAACTGCATCATAATCTTGTTCTGTGTTGCATTAGTTAAAAAACTTTCATTTTGAAATAACCCAGAATGTAGATATACTTACAGTTGCACCTTTAGCACCAGCAAGACCATTAGCACCAGGGTTTCCCTAATGAGAAAAATAAAGGTGTTGGTTAATATAACCTTCTTCTTACCTCTGAGCCCACAAAATTGACATCTACTGATAGCCAAGATTGGAATTAACTTACAGGAGGGCCAGCGGGGCCAGAAGAACCAGGAAGTCCAGCCTCTCCTCGTGGACCAGCAGGGCCAGAAGGACCTACATTACCAGCAGCTCCAATTTCACCCTATTTGAGAAAAATGATATCAAGCTTTTTATCAGCAAGTACAATGTCAAAAAATACCACAGCACACATCATTCATACAGCTACAGTTCAAGATTAATACTACACTTGACTGTTTGTTAACCCTGCTTTAGAGGTAAAAAAAAAAGAAAAAAAAGGAGGCTACGAGAGCTTTTTTATCAGATTTCAGAGGCACTGAGCTATACAGGCCTGTATAGCTCCCACAGAAGACTGCTCAGCAACTCTAAGAGTCAGGCCATGGATTTACCCAAGATCATTCAGCAAGTCTGCTGCAGAATCAAGATCAAGATCAAGAACAAAACAGTTTTGCCCTGATTCACAGCCTCACATCCTATCCACTGGACTATGCTGCCTCAAATGGCAAAAGGTCTCATTCACCATTGTCCTAGCTTTTGTGACAGTCACTTAAACTACTGCAAACAGGTACACTCATTCCAAACATCAGTATTTTACACTCAGTTTGCACTGGTGTAAATTACCCATGATTCGGGACAGTGGTCACTCAGTCTAAAAGTTACTTCAAATATTGATTAATATATTTAATGTTTTGCATGTGAACTTCTAAGTAGCTACAGGTCAGGAGGTAATGCATTGTATAGAATGTAACTATTTATGGGATCACACTTTCTAGTGCTACATCAGAAGTGGGGTGTATTTTAGTTGAGTCAGTCCCTATAAAATTCAGGACCCAAGCACATCATCATCATCATGTACTTTATATGAACAAACCCTCTATGGTCAGTGGATATGCTCTAGGTAAAGTTTCTTCTTGAAAAAGTGTTTGTTTCTATAGCTATTACCTTCTATCAGGGCTGACTAGAGTATGGCCTGCAGATGTTCTAATGCATCCTCAGTCTTCACAGACTGCAGCTACCAGCTGCCCATACTTCATTTTGATCTAAATGTAAATTCTTCTGATACATGCAGTCTTCATGGAAAACACATTATGATGAAGGCAGCACAAACATCTACTCTACTCTGTGTCAAACCAATGAAGTCCCGGGCCTCTAGGGACATTGTGCATACATACAACTCTCAACTACAGCATATTTTAACACCCTGGCCTAAATTCTGCTGTTCTTTCACTATCAAAACTCCCATTCAATATTATAGGAGTTTCAACTGAACAAAACCAACAAGATCTAATGTATACAAAGTGGATTTAACCTTTAGTTTTCAGCAAATT